AGAAGAGAAGAGAAGAGAAGAGAAGAGAAGAGAAGAGAAGAGAAGAGTCAGTAAGATGGAAAGAAGGGAAGGGATAGAAGGAAAAGGGACGGAAAGGAACGGAAAGGAAAGTGACAGAAACCTAATAAAGTAAAAAGGCAAAGAGAAACAAAAGAGAAACACAATAAAATTAACTAAAAAAAAAAAAAAAGAGGATGAGGGTGAGGCAGAGGAAGGAGCCGGTGGGATGCAGGGGGATGCCCCGTGCTCTGGGTGCCCCCAGGTGGCTGCGGGAGGAGGTGCCCGTGCAGGGGGTGCGGAACGGGGCGGGGAGGACTCACCAAGAGGAAAATAATAAAAAAAAAACAGAGAAAATGTAGAAGGCAGAGGCCAAATGCCCCTTCCCGGGGGCAGCGCTGGGGTTGGGGGTGCAGCCGCAGCCCTTTGGGAGTGGGTTGGGGTTAAATCGACCCCCTCCAGGGTGCTCAACATACACAGGGGACAGGGGACACAGGCACTGGGGACTGGGGACGTGGCTGCCCCAGCCGGACAGAGGGTCGTTGGCTTTCTGCTTTTTTCTTTTTTTTTTTTTCTTTTTTTTCCCCCTTTTTTGATGCTCCTTTCGCCTCCCGACCCTCCCCTGGGGGTGGGCAATGGGTGCCCGGTTTGGCCCTGAAGAGGAGGGAGAGGCCATCCCCGGGAGATCCCGGACTTGGGAGATGTCACAGCCCATCCCACTGCCAGGCTTGGTGGTCCCGGTGCTGCCCCAGCACCTCCTGGTGTCACCGGCAAGGCGCAGGTGTTCCCTGGAGCTGTGGTGCTGAGCTGGGTGCCAGCACCACCTTCTGCCCCCCTGGATTTCTGGGGAGGCTGGAGAGTGTGGGCAGGATTTGGGGGGGCTCCAGCAGTGCTGCTTTGGGGCTGCAAGCAGGGACTTTCTCAGTCTCCCCAGGCGCACACAGCTTTTGGGGTCTCTGTCTCTCCCAGGCAGAGGTGGGGGGTTGCTTCCTCAGGACCCCCAAGCTGCTGCCTCCATCAGTCCCGGGCAGTGGGAACAGGAGGGGGTCCAAGCTCACGGTGATGGGGGAGCAGGGGCAAAAACTCCCCATTTTGGGGCAAAAGGAAGCAGGTCTGTCCCCTGGTGTCCCCGGCGTCTCGAGGGCCACCCTGGCGCAGGGGGCGGCGGGAGGGGACGAGGACAAGGCACAGTCCGGTGTCCCCGCGGGGGCGGCCGGGCCGGGGGGTGGCCGGGGCGGGGGTCCATCGGCGGCGGTGGCGGCAGCGGTACCTAGACATCCTCATCCTCGCTGGCCTTGCTCCAGCGGTGGCAGCAGTTGGCTGTGATGCCCAGCAGGAAGTTGGTGGCCACCGAGGCGATGGAGACGACGAAGCCAACGAAGGCGATGAAGAGATAGTCGTCCAGCGTCAGCGTGAGGTGGCAGGCCTGGAAACTCTCCTCCGTCAGTGAGAGCAGGGGGGCCCCTGCCACCTCAGGGGGGGCCCAGCACTCGGCCTGATGCGAATCTGTGGGATGGGGGGGGAGTGTGGCTTTAGACCGGCCGCCAGCCCCCGGGATGGGGGTGGGGGTTGGAGGGTCCGGCATCACCTACCCGAGGCGCAGCGCTGGATGCGGCCCCGCAGCCACTTGAGGAGGGGCTCCATGGCGCAGCCGCAGAGCCAGGGGTTGCCCCCCAGGCGCAGCCCCACCAGCCCGGGCAGCCCCTCGAGGGCGTCGAGGCTGATGGCCGCCAGCCCGCCGTAGCTCAGGTCCAGCTCGCGCAGCTGGGCCAGCCCGCGGAAGGCCTGGGGGTGGACGCGGCGCAGCCCCGGGTTGTGGCTGAGGTCGAGGCGCAGGAGCCCGCTGGCCTCGCGGAACATGTCGGCGGGCACCAGGCTGAAGTTGTTGTAGCTGAGGTCCAGGTGCGCCAGGCGCCGGGCACCGCGGAACAGCCCCGCCGGCAGCGCTGCCAGCGAGTTGTTGCGCAGGTCGAGGGCGCGCAGCTGCCCGTAGCAGCCCAGGTAGCCCGGCGGGATGCTGGCGATGCGGTTGTGCGCCAGGCTCAGGTTCCCGGTGTCCAGCGGCAGCTCGGGGGGCACGGAGAAGAGCCGCTGCCCGCTGCAGTCCACCGCCTGCCCGCGGCAGCTGCACAGCACCGGGCAGCCCGCGCCGGCCGCCGCCGCCACCGCCGCCGCCGCCGCCACCAGCCAGGGGCCCAGCAGCATGGCCTCGCGGCCCCGACCCTCACGGGGCGCCGGGGGCCATCCCGCCCGCCCGCTCAACGCCCGGGGCTCAGCCGGCGGCCGGTGGCGGGGCCCGGCTGGCAGCGGTCACAGCGATGCTCCCGCCGTCCCGGCGGCATCCGGCGGGCACGGGAACCCCGCCGGGGGCACCGGCGTGGCCGTCACTGGCTGTCTGTGAGGAAGAGGAGCAGGAGGAAGCTGTGCCGGCCACATGCCCCTGCTGAGGAGGCCGCAGCCGGTGTGGCCGGAGTGGCCTGTGAGGCACCCACGCCCTCCCCACGCCCTTCGTGCCACGGTCACCTCACTCCTACAATACCCCCTTGGGGATTTCTGCCAGAACAGAGCCCTCCAGCCCCTCTGACCTTGGCCAGCCCATCCTGGCTGGTGGTGGGCAGAGTGGAGGTGCTGCTCCACAGCCTCCCGCCAACCCCCTGTCAACCCCACACCGCCGTCAGCTCAGCCTAGTGCAGCAGACACCCTCCCCACCTCCCTCCTGGGGGGAGACCTCCATGCCCAGCTCCCATCCAGGGTCCCCCCAGGCCTGATCTCGGCCCCCCGCCAGCTGACCATGTCTGCTCCATCCTCCCTCGCCCACACCCTCCCAGCTCCATCGTCTCCCACCACCCCGCCTTACCCCAGCCATCCCCATCCCGACAGCCTCCCAACCCCTCCGGCAGGGCTGGGGTCCCCCGGGGTACTCACTGGCCAGGGGGGAGCAGGGCCTGGTTCCCTGCGATGATGTGAGGGTCCTGGACGGTGATGTGGGGGGCTCCAGGGAGTGATGTGGGGGTCCCAAGCGGCCACCCACACCCCGGAGGCCGCAAAGTCACGAGCAGGGCTCCGGCAGCGCCGGCCAAGGCTGCTGCGAGCCTGGCGATGGGAGCAGGTCTTTCCCCACCTCCTTCCTCCCCTCCTCCTCCTCGTCCTCCCTTGTCTCTCTCTTTCTCTGTCTCTTTTTTTTTTTTTCCTCTTTTTTTCCTTAGGGCCAGATACTGACGTGTCGGTGTCTCTTAGCAACTGCCTCCACATCTCTGAGCAACAGGAGAGCGGGATGCGGAGCCGCCGAGCCGAGCCAGGGAGACGGCGGCGGGCGGAGATGGCCCCACCCCAGGGAGCCCCTGCCCAGGCCGGGGGACCCGCACCCGCACGGCCCAGGCACCCGGCAGGGGAGGAGTGGGAAGAGGGGTGGCATCCTTCCCCCCCCCCCGACCCGATCCCCAGCCCTCCCGCACTCTCCCGGCCCCGGGAAGCATCCCCGTGGGATGGGGTGAATCAGGGGTTCCCGGGTGCTGAAAACAGAAACAGATGACGTGTCAGCAGAGGGGAGAAACGAGGCAGCTGGGATCCAAGGGGAGCACCGAGATCCAAGGGGAGTGCTGGGATCCAAAGGGAGCTCTAGGATCCAAAGGGAGCGCTGGGATCCAAGGAGAGGGCTGTAATCCAAGGGAAGCACCAGCACCCCCGTGTCTCCCTGCTGTGCTCACAGCCCCAGAAAATGCCTCAGGTTGACATGGATTGTTTTGCTCCATGCGAGCTGAAACATTCCCTTTCCCTTCTCTGTTCGGGGGGCGTGCAGGGGGGTTCAGCCACCTGCCCCCTCCCACTGGAGAACGGCCCTGTGGGATCGCAGGGATGCCCACGGTTTGCTCTGGGAACGCTGCAACACCACGGCTCTGGCGTTTCTGGGAAGGAGGCACTTCCACATCATGCCTGCCCAAGCCTGAGGGGATCCCTGCTTAATTATCTCCTGCTGATTTCATGGAGCTGCTCCTTTTCCCAGCTGGCACCAGCAGCCCCGATCCCGGCGCTTGGGGGCCTTTTGCTCCCCGCATCCCACGGGATGGATCCTCCCCGGCGCGGTGCTGGCAGACAGACGGCACAGCCGCGTTCCCCCGGGGTGGCATTAACCGGCACCGCTCCAGGCTCGGGCTCTTGGTGAGCTCCTGGGAGCTCCAGGAGCTCGAGGCCCGGGTTCCCAGCGGGCTCCAGGAGCTGCGGGAGCTGCGCTCCATGCCCGGAACCAGCTGCAGCACAGACACCTCATTAGCGCTCGGGCCGGAGCTGGCAGCAGCTCCCTCCCAGCAGCTGTTGGTGCTGAGGTTTTTTCCACTCCCCCGGTGTTCCAGGCTCTGTTGGCGGCAAATTACCTGGGAAACTGTCCCGGCTGGGGCTCGGCTGCAGCAGGGCCTGCGTCCCCCCTTGCCAAACCCCCTGTGGACACGGCCACATGGGCACCACAGCATCCCTGAGGGAGCCAGGGATGTTCACCTCCAGGGTGGGAAGGACCTTGGCTGCCCTCCCCACCTCACCCACAGAGCCCCTGCCGTATTCCAGTCCCAGCATTCCTGGGAGAAAAGCCCCCTTGGACGTGCACTGGCTCTTGGGGTGAGCGCTCCAAGTGCTTCCAGTCCCTTTTTGCAGAGGCAGGTGCTCCTGCAGGTCCCCAGGAGCCAGGATGGCTCCAAGGATCCTGGCTCCATAAATCTGCCTTACAGCCAGGGCCTTATCTCTTGCAGTCCATCACCACTCCAGTCAATCCCTGTGCGTTCAGGCTTGAGAGAGGAGGAGGGAAGGAGAGGGATGGTTTGTAGCTCTGCTGCTGAGGAGAGGTCAAAGCTGTTGGTTCCAGGCAGGAGCCCCCTGGGAACCATCACACCTCCTCACCCTTCCCAAGTCCCCATTCCCAAATAAACCCACCTCCTTCCCAAGCCTGGCCATACAGTGAAGTCTCCTGGGAAAAAAGGAAGCCTAGGCTTCCTTTTTCTATTAGAAGAGAAGGGTGAAGAGGCATTAGCCACTGCTTAAACTGTCCAGGGAGAGTTTTTCTAACAGCAGGAAAAAGATTCTGGCTCCAAGTAAGAAGGGGGCATGGGAATTCTTGAAGGAAAATAGAGACAGTAAATATGTATGTCTATATATATGCATACGTCTATACATATTTATGTCTATAAGAGATATTTATCTATATACATACATAAATACAGTAAACATGTAGAAATAGGGTTGTGAAAACACTGTCCCCTCAGGGTGATTGAAAGAATCTAGTCTTCCCTACAGCAATTTCCAAGCTTTCTTGTGTGAGGGAAGATCCTGAGGGAATAGGAAATGGGGCATAACATATCTCTGCATCTTGCCTTGCAGAAACCACAGTTAAGTCAGAATCACAGAAGATTCCAAGTTGGAAGGGACCCCCAAGGATTGGGAGTCCATACAGTTATTGGTCTGGAATCAGCTACCCAGGCAGGAGAAAGGAGACACAGAGAGTGCTGGATTTCATTAAAAAACACTTTTATTTTTGTAATTAAAAAAAAGAAAAAAGTTAAAACTGTAAATACAGGATAAGTAAAACACACACGGATGCCCTAAAACCCCCTTTCCTGTCTTGGCTCAGCAGGAGGGGCTGGGGCCGGGCGGCGAGTGCCACACGGCCGAGCTGGTGCGCTTGAAGTAGCGGGGCTTGCTCTTGTAGAAGATGTGCTCCAGCTGGGGGCTGGGGATGGCCCCAAACAGCGCATCCACGTCCACAGGGTGGTAGTACTGGTGCAGGACGGCCTGGTGGAGCTGTGTCCCTGGGGGAAATACATATCAGACACATGGATGTGCCCTGCTTAACCCCACGGGGCCGGGTGTTGCTTTTTCCCCTCGGGCACTGGGGCTGTCCCCTCCCCGTTCCTCTCTCGCTGCTGGAGCCACACACGCTCCTGGACTGCGCTTTGGGATGGCTCCGGGTGAGGCTGGGAAGGGGAAAAAAACCCACCCCCGAGCCAGCACCTACCTTCGGCCCAGGCAGGGACAGGCTTCCGAGGGTCGTTCTCGTCATCCGTGGAGTCGTCGCTGTTCAGGTCCAGCCCGTAGTCGTTCTCAGCAGCCGTGGGGGATCCGGGTCCCTGCACGACCTTCGGGGGCCCGAGGCAGGATGTGGAGAGGGATTTCTGGAACTGTGGAGAGAGCAGTGATGAGCAAAGGAAGCAGCACTTCCCTGGGGCAGGACAGCCAGCCTGGCTGGGCAGGATGGACACTGGCGCCCAGTGGGATGGCCCCCTGAGCCCCAAAGTGCTCAAATCCTGTACCAACACAAAACTCACCGGGCTCCCTGCCTCAACCCTTCCTCCCCTCCTGATTTCCGTGGAAAAACCTCGGAAGAGCACCCTGTGTGTGTCTCAGCACTCAGTATGCCTCCACACTCGAACCTCTCCCCGTGTTCCGTGGCGGTTCGCCTTTCCCTCCCTGGAGCTCTGACACGAGCCAGGATGGAGCCCGCAGCTCCAAGGCAAGATTCCCGGCCGAGGCAGCGCTCGAGCCCAGCTCCGAGCAGCCCTTCCCGCCCCTCTCCCGACAGAAGGCTCCGCAGCTCCAGCCGGCACGGCCGCGCTGCCCGGGGCCGCTCCCGGAGGGATGTCGCCTCAGGACCTGCTGCCATCCTGTGGTCGCTTCCAGCATCTTTCCGCCACATCTTTCCCCCCGCCCCCCCCCCTCACAAACCACTTGTTTTTTCCTTCGGGTTCCCCGTGCCGAGCTCTGCGGTGGCTCCGGGCGGCGGGGGCTAATGAGCCACAGCAGGCGGGGGCCACCCAGGGCTCACCTTCACGGCTTTGCTCAGCCACGTGCCAGGGGCGGCACTTGCAGCTGCTGCTGCTGGTGGTGGTTTGGGCTTTTTCTCTTCTCCCAGCTGCTGCTGACCATCTGCCTCCTGTAAGACACGGGAATTAAGTCATTCCTCGCCCGGGCAGAGCAGCCAGGCTGCCTCTAGAACGGAGCCGCGTCCTCAGCAGCTCTGGCAAGACCCAACCCTCAGTCCCCTCTGCGTCTTTTCCTGCAGAAATAACCCCAAAGCCAAGGCTCCCGTCCCTGCTCAGGTCCAGCCCAGCTCCCTGGAGCTCACACTCACTTTCATCACTTGGAGCCAGGTGTTAAGAGCTGGGAAAATGGATTCTGGTTGCTCATGTCTCTTCTCCTGCCCAGGCCCCAGGGGTAACTCTTTGGGGTTCTCTTTCCCCTAATAAAGAGGGGAAAAAATTCACTGCTCAAGTTGCTTTTCAACCCAAACCCCCTTTCCCAGGGTTTCCTCTCCCATATTGCTCAGCACATGGAGTTTGATCCACTTTCTGCTGCCTGGAGGAGCTTTGCCATGGTCACACTCTGGCCCTGCCGCTGGCAGCACAGGGAGGATTCAGACCTTATATTAAATTTGTACAGCACAGGGGAGTCCAAATGCCAGGGACCAAGTGAGGGAGAGCAGCAGGAGCAGACACAGCAGGGAGAATTTATCCTTCAGAGGAGGGACCACTTGGGACACTTATTTTCCACTAACAAAGGAGTTACTTCAAGAGTAGAGAGCAGAAAAATGTTACTGTGATATTTCAAGACAAACGGCCCTGACTTTAAGCCCCAACATTCTTTGTGTGGGTGCAAATGAGGTGACACAGAGCTGTGTGGCACCTGAGGTTTGGTTTGGGGGGGTCACATCCTCCAGGCACGGTGGGGGAATGTAGCAGGGAAACAGAAACAAATATCCAATTTCCATATTCATTTCAGGATCAGTGAATGCCCCTTTGAGGTGTTCATCCAAGTGCCATTTCACGGCTGTCACCATCTCCTGACACAGCTGAGGGCTCACCTGCCAGCCAGGGAACCCCCCACAACTTAGCAATTAAGATTCTGTACAAGAGCAGTCATTATTTTGATTGTTATTTGATCCTCTAAATAACATCCCAGTAACACAGCACTTGGAAAACATCTGATCCTAAACCCAGCCTGTGTGCCTTGTGTGCTGCAGAGAGGCTGCTCCCAGAGCACTCCAACCCCACCTTGGTGGTCTTGTCAGCCAACACTGCTGGCTCCAGCTGTGCCTGGGGGGGCTTCTCCTTCCCTCGCTGCTTGGGATCCCTGGGGAAAAAGGAAATTTAGAGAAGGAAGCATGCCCATCTGCCCCCCACATTCCTACAGCCTCCTGCCCCGGCACCCCAATCTCCAGGCAGCCCCACGGCCTGGTTCCAACACCACATGTACATTCACTGCTTCCCTGTGCCTGTGGCCAATTCCCTGCTCGCACCTCTCCTTCGCTTTTTCCACCTGTTGCTGCTCTAGGAGATTCTTCAGTTCCAAGACTTTCTTCCCTTTTTCCTTCACTTCATCCTCTCTCCTTTTCTGCAGTGGTTCTTGCTGCTCGTTTTCTTCCTGAAGAAAAAAGGGGGAAAGCCCTGTAAGCACCTCCAGCTCAGGTGGGAAGAAGCAAATGCTCTGAGACAACCCGTGCAGGTCAGAGCTCACCTTTGCTCCCGTGCCTGTCCACCAGCTGGGACATCTCTCCCTTGTGTCCCAACCCAACCTCAGCTGCCCGGACAGAGATCCAGCAGCGCAGACCCCAAAATCCCTGCAGCAAGAGGGTGGTGACTTGTGCCTGTCCCACCAGCCACAACAGCACAGTGGGTCCCTGTCATCCCTGTCCTTTTCCACGTGCAGGAGGGAGCTGAGCTGCTCTTACCCCCCTCAGAGCTTTCTGCCTCCGCGCATCCACCTCCCCGGTTTTCTTCAGCGTTTTCCTCTTGCTCCGCTCCTCTGCCGCCTTCTCTTCTCGCACCTGTGAGGGGTACACCTGGGAAAGTGTCCACCACCCCCTGCACTCCCCTCACAGCCTTGGAGGGAGCTCTGGAGCCTGGGATATTCCAGGTCCTGTAAGGAGACTGAGAATCCAGCGCCCACAGCAGTGGGACCAGCAAGGGCTGGGTGTGCTTTTGGCCGCTCAGGGTTTGGGAAAGGCTGAAAGGAGCACGATCCCTTGTTTTCCAAGGCTGACCCTTTTCAAAGGTCAATTCAGTCCGCCCCAAAATGAGCAATCAGGCCCCTCCCAGAGGCTGCCGGGGCTCTGGGCCATCAGGCACAGCTCCCTCAGCCCTGCCCACTAGCTCAGCCAGCTCCTCACCTGCCTGCCCCCCAAAAAAGGGCCGGGCCAGGGAAGGCTCTGAATCCCAAACCTGACCCAATTGCACCCCCCAGCTGAGTCACAGACACCCCCTGCACACCCTGTGGCCTCACTATCCCTCATACTCCACGTGTGGGGACCAGGTGAGGCTGTCACCTGCAGGGCTGTGCCCAGGGCAAGCAGGTGCTGCCACATTCCCTAAATCCAGAGCACCATGAACGCAGCCTGTCACAACGGGAATGTGCAGAGGGCTGGAGAACAAAAGCCTTCCCCTGTCAGACAGAATTCTGGCAGCTCTGATGCACTTTACCCATCACTGATCTGTCATCCCCAGCAGCTGCCCTGATCCCACCAGTGCCCTGCTCACACCTCCCGGCCCCACCAGGAGGCCCAGACCCTGCTCAGCCTCCCCACCTTCTCGTCGCTCTGCAGGAGCTTCTGCTCCATCCGCTTTTTCTTCTCTTCCTCCATCTGTTCCACCCTCTCCCGAGCCTGCAGGGCCTTCCTCAGGCGCTCTTCCCGCTTCCTGGGCAGCACAAGGGCAAGAGGGGGGCTGTTAGCTCTGCCTGCTCCATCACAGGGTGAGGGGGGGCAGGCGCTGCGTAACTGGGGGAAGAGCTGCCCCGCTGAACCTGCTTTGGCAAAGCTTGGCCCCAGCTCCACTCCGTGGCAAGGTGGGACACGAGCAGGTGCCTTGCACCTCCAGGAGTCAGGAGCAGCAGGGCTCAGTTGTGCCCAGGCAGCACAGCTCCCAAAATGCTCGTTCCAAGGGGGAGGCACAAGGCAGGTCTGTGCCGACCAGGGAGAAAGGCATCCAACTCACTGCTTCATTTCTGCCTGCCGCCGTCTCTTCTCCTCCTCCACCTTCTTTTTCCTCTGTTCCTCAGCCTCCTGTTTTTTCCGGAGGTTCTCCAGTCTCTGCCGCTCCTTCTCCTGGAGGGAGAAGGGTTTGCACTGTACCAGGTGCTGTGGGCTCTTTCTCCCTGGTACACACAGTCACTGTCAGAGCCATTCACCTGCATGCCGGGGCATGGAGCAGGGAACACAACACAGGTTTGGCAACAGGGATTATCCAGTGAGAGCAGAGGGGTCACAGGTACAGGAGGGAAAAACCTCAGTCCTTTGGCTGCAGAGAATTCCCTGACCCAGGAGTTGGGAGGGTGGTGGAGAGGGAGCACAGTGCATCCTTGCTCAGAGGTCAGAAGCTCCCAGCAGTGCCCGGCCCCAGAGATCCTGCCACCTCACCACAGGTGTGGCCAATTCCTGATGGACTGATGGACACCAGGTGAGAGGGGAGGGGGTGGTCAGCGCCCGGGGGCCGGCAGGATCATCCAGCCCCAGGTGTCATCACTTACAACGAAGTCGCCCTGTGGAGAAGGCACACAAACACAACTAAGGGTTTGGAAGTAACGCCCAAACCCCCTCACACAGCACGTGCACCCCGTTCTCAGCTGCAGCTCACACCAGGTACGTGGCAGAGCCTGACCCCACACTGCCTGTCAGCCCTGCCGTGGCCAAAAACGCCGGACAATTCCCACTGCAAAGAAAAGCTTTGGACTTTTCTACGGATCAGCAGTCCCAGAATAACATGTGATGTCTCTGCTGACCACAGGCAGAGCAGCTGGGGTTTCTCTGCATGTGAGGAAGGTTTGGCAGCTGGGGCTAAAAACCCCCTCCCTTCTTCAGGGAGTCTGATGGAGAATCCCGAGGCCAGGTTTCTCCCAGGATCTGCACTTTTCCTGAGCCAGGAGCAGGCTTACATTTCTCTACACAGGCGGTCCCTCCTGCCACTGCCCCACACCCGTCCCCCAGAGGGTGAGACAGGACTCACCTTCAGGTTGGGCCGGGTGGGAGTGTTGCGCTTGATGAAGTCCTTGATGCCACCCCCTCGTCCCGTGGGCCCCGAGCTTGGCAGCAGCTGGTTCCGCTGCACAGCCTGAAGGAAGTTCTTCAGAGGCTTCACAACCTGCAGGGAGAGAGGGAGAGAGCTCAGAGCCTGCCTGGGACAGAGGGGACAGGGCCTAGGCACCACTCACCTTCCTCACCTTGCTGGCCGGAGAGGGTGATGACAGAGCCTGGCTGGCTGAGGTCTTGTGCTTGTCATCCGAAGGGGAAAGGGTCTGGCCCCCCGGCTGATGCCCGTGCCACAGGACACCCAGGGCTTGCTTGTAGCCTCTCGTCCTGGTGGCATCAGCAAGAGGGACATTAGGTGACTGTCATGCTCCCTGGAAGCATTTCTTGGCTGTTACGTACTTCCCCCTAAAGCCTTGCGTGAGACCCCAGCAACATACAGTGAGGAGACTGGTCATGTATTCCAGGAGACAGGTCGCATATTCCAGACCCTAACGCAGTCCAAAATAACCAGGTCAGTCACCTGCTCCTGGACCACCCCCTCAGGAACCCTCAGAGCCACCTCCCAGCTCACTGTGCCATGTGCGTCACCTCTGCTTGTCTGTGCAGGACCTCAGGTGCTGCTCCCCATGCCAGACCTGGTCCCAGAGCCAAACAAGGCTCCAAAAGTCACAAGGAACTTCCAGGACACGGGATCTGGCCAAAGGAGATTTCAGAGCTATGCTGGAAGTGTGGGAGAGAAGGCAGGGAAACCCCCAAAGCTATTTAACACAAATGACTTCAGAGGCCAGGTCTGAGTCCTTCCCGACCCCTGGCTCATCCCTGCTCCTTGCAGTGTTCTCCTACCAGATACGGGAGGGACTCTCCTGGGACTTGGCACAGTGAGGTGGCTCCTGGTTCTTCTGGGGTTCACTGTTGGGATTTACATGGCTTCCTGTGGAAAAAAAACTGGATTCAGTGCCATGTGCGAGGCATCCTGCTCTCGTCTCCAGCTCTCTGTGCCCAGATCCCTGTGGCACACAATGGAGAAACTGGGGCCTGGATGGCCACCTGGAACATCATGTTGTGCAGGTACCCTGTGGGACACACCTGCACAACCCCTTCTGCCCAGGCACCGCCCCACCCAAAGGCATCCAGGGACTCTTATTAGACCCTGCTGCTCCTACAGGGAACAAAAAAAAAAAAGCCCAGATCTCCCCTCCCCTTGCTCAGAGGCGCAGAAAACAAATGGGACCTGCAAATCCTCACATAATAACACAAACCCAGGGGGAAGGGCCATGACACTCTGCAGAAGATTCCAGCTCTGGGAGCTCCTTCACAAGTATCTTCGCTCACTTGTCAGAGCTGAAGCTGGACAGGACAGCGTTTGTCTCAAGGCCTGGGCACATTTACACGTCCTTGCCCCCCCTAACTAATGTCTCGTCTCTTTAGGAGACCAGAAGTTTACCTGGAAAGCTTCCCTTGACTGATCAGAGGTTTTGACACAAATCCCAGATTTCCCAGGAACCTGCTGACCCTGGTCAGAGCAGCTCAGAGTTACCTGCAGCATTCCCTGCCTGCTGCTCGGGATGGGACGGGGGCTGTGCCGGAGGGCTGGCGGCTCGGGGACTTTTGCTTGGAATGAGGACGTCCTTGGGAGCCTGCAGGGACAGGAGACAAACATTCCCTTAGCACACCTGCTCCAAGGAACGAGGCTACTGTGGACCTCCTGCCCTGGAAAAGCCAACTGCTCGAATAGGATCTGCTTCCCTCCCAGCAAGGGCTGTGCTGGCTCGTTTTCAGGGACACCAGCCACATCCCTGCCTCCAGTGACAACCTCAGGAAAGGTGCTGACTCAGCAAGAAGGTATCCGGACAGTCTGCAGGTTGTTCCTTCCAACTCACCTTTTCCTTTGGGGGGTTCAGCTCCAGCTCGGGCCTGCAAAGGAAAAGATATTTTCATTAATTCATCTCCCTGAAGGTGAGTTACAGGTGTGTGTGTGGGACCCCAAGGGAAGCTGCAGGTAAACCTAAGCACATCCAGAGGCTATCCCAGCCCAGACACACGGAGGCTGGGCTGTAAATTCCCCTGAGGGACCATCCCACTGCGCTACTGAGCATAACCAGCTTCAGCCCTGGGTAGCAGGTAAAGAGGGAGCTCTGTCAGCCTTGGGTTGAGCCTTACCTGCCCTCTCTCCAGCTAGAGCAGAGCTGATTGACTGCCAGCATCCCAGCATTCTGGTGGCATCCAGGAATTCCAGGAATCCCTGGACATACAGTGCCAGCAAACTTCTGGGCTGCCCACCCCAGTGCAGGGTTTAACCTCACTGTGCCTGAACAGCACAACCTAAAATATCAGCCAGCCCCAGACGACAGCAGCACCTGAGCAGTCCCTCACAAAAACCTGTGACAAAAGCCACTCAAAGAATGTCCTTGCAGGGAATTCTGGGATCCCTTCCCACCTGCTTTAGGTGGCAGCCTCACCTCGTGCCGCTGGTCGCGTCTTCTTCTTCCACGAAAACCTCCAAGGAGCTCTGACCTGCAGAGAAAAGCATAAGTGGGGTTGGGGATTTCATTCCCAGGCTCCCAATGGCCCCCGGGGTGTGTGTGGAGGAGTGCAGGCTTCCTCCCAGGAACACGGATTGCTCAGCTTTCCACACCAGCACCACACCTCCCTCGAGTGCCACTGACAAACTGGAGTGGGCTGGGAAGGCACAGCACTGAGGCAGCAGCTCCAGTGCCTGCAGCCTGCTCGGGCTGCCTGTGTCACAGCCAGCATTCCCAGGCCATTGGCTGCAGCTCCTGCCTCCCCACACGCTCCAGTGCAGGGATCTGGGGGGGGTTGGGCTGATTTCAGGCTGATTCCACCCCCAAATCACACCCCTTCGCTCCAAGTGTTATAACAAGTGCCTGGATACGGCGTGACTCAAGGCTGACAAAGCTGAATTCCAGAGGCCTCCATGCTCCCTCACAGCTCATCTGCCTGCAGCAGCAACGCTTTTGGAAAGTCCAAACAGCCAAACCCTGCCAGGAGCAGTGGGAACAGAGGATATGAAGAGTTCAGTGCTTCCAGGAACAGCCTGGGTTCCTGAGCCCTGTTCCTCTGGGGATGCTGCTAATTTGGGTCTCTATCCTCTCCCAAAAAGCATTTCAGCTCCTCTGCTCATTTAAGGGTTGCAGACTTTCAGCCCTATTGATTTTTTGGAGAGCTGGCAGAAGCCATAAATTAAAGCCCCTCCCCAGGGAACGCAGCAGTCTCTCCTGATCTGAAGGCACACGTGGCTCGAACCACGTTCTCCCTTCCATAATTGTGGGTTTTTTTGCCCGTTCCCAACCTGTGTACCCCAACTCCAGTCCCAGTACCTGCACCCCAGGAACCCACAAGGGCCAGGACAAGGAGGCTCCAGGGAGCCAGATCCACCAGGGATGAGCAGGGACTCACAGCTCACTCTGCTGGAGGCCGAGGAGGACTCTCGTGCCGCCGCCTTCCTCGCCATGGCCCTGCTGACGGATCTCCGTATCATGTTCTCCCTCCTGCTGGACAAGGAGTATTTTTGCGCCAAGGAAGCCCTGCGGCTCCTGCTCCGGCGGCGCAGCCTGGATTTCTCTGTTGTTCTTTTGCTGTCGGAGTCCTGGAAGAGCAGTTTGTCGAGGCTTTGGGGGGATCCATCTCCTTGGAGCGCGGCAGGGTCTCCATTCCGAGCAGCTTTGGGAGTGGAGGTGCTTGCTGTCCTGGGCTCCTGCTCCCCATCCCTTCCCAGCTGTTCGGCTGCTGTTCCAGCGACTCCAGAGACCTCCTGCAGCTCAGCTGCTGTGTCCTCCTCTGGCAGGTGCTCCCCCAAAACGGCCAGAGCAGCTGCATCACCTCCAGCAGCACCCTGGACACAGTCCTGACAGTCCTCCTTTTCCAAGGGAACAAAGGCTTCAACCACCTGCTTCCCAGGCAGTTCCAGGAGCTGGGGCGTGACACCAGCCTGGGATCCTGGAGCACATCTGGGCACAGACACCTCCTCTCCCCCACAGCCAGGGCTCCGGGGCTGCTCTTGGCTCAGGTGCCGTTGGGAACTCAGCCTAGAAGACACCGGCTTGACGCCGCTTCTCCTTCGGGACAACCTTAAAGGAAAACCATTTTAAAGGAAGCGATGAAGGAATCTCCCCCGCTCCCAACTAAGTTTTAGGGGAAAAAGCAGATGTTAAGTTTTGAAGTGAAGCTGCTGCTGGCTTCTCCCCTCTACCGTTCCCCCTCAGAGTCCATCCTATCCTTGAGGAGAGGCACATGGATACACAGCCTGGGCTGGCTCACGTGGACACAGGGGCCCAGGCAGGAGCTCACACACAGGGGCTGTGTCACGCAGACACAGCCCAGGCTGGGTATCCAGGGTGAAGGCTGGAGAAATGGAAGTGGGAAAGCTGTATTTAAACCCAGCTCTTGGTTTAGGGGTAAAGTGCCTCCAGGAGCAGCACAGGGCAGAGGACAGTGCCTGCACCTCACTCCCCTGCTGGCAGCCACCCACCCACCCTGTCACATCAGCAGATCTTCCCAAACTAAGTTTAAACGAGGGGAAGCACAAACAGGACTTGCCTTCTCTGGGGGAAGCACCCATTTCAGCCTGAGCTCTCCCAGCAGGGCTGAGAGCTCTCCCCACCCCGATCAGCAGCGCTGCTTCTCCTGCCCTCCCTCACACACACCAGCTTCCCACGCTCCCCTGCTATTCCTGCTGCTCTCCCCACCCTCCATGTCTGCTTTCTGACAGTCTCTGAGCTCCAACTCTTCCTCCTGTGGGCTTTTCAGCACTGTCAGCACGATTTTAGTGCCACAGCACACCAACGGGTCAGGTTTGGCCCACCCCACTGCAGCTGCAGTGCCTGTCCCACTGGCAGCGGGTGCTCCCACAGAGGGAAGGCCACCTTGGCCACCCAGCTGCTGGCCCTGGGATGGGAGCAGATGCACAGTGGGCTGCCAGAGAGCAGCAGCACCGAGGAAGTTAATTAGCATCACAGCCACCTTGCCTTCCCACGCAATTAATTACACCCTGCCCTGCACCCTACTGTTCACAGGCAGCCTCTGTCCCCTTCAGAGCAGCTTTAAAAGCCTTAGGTGTGGTAGGTCCTAAGCAAACCACTTGGAATTTCCACTTCAGCCACTCACTAAACCCTTGGAGCCCCCCAGCTGCCAGCTTGGACACAGTGCTGGGAGTATATCCCATTCCCAGGTTCTCCAGGCACCAACACAGAGGTTTAGGGAGTGAGCACCAGTAGCAACCTCAAGCCAAAAGACAAACCCAAAACCAAACAGACAAGATAGTAGAGTGTTTATTATTCTTTAATTATAACCAGTGAAGGAAAGCAGGCAACTTTATCCCAAACTCTCACCAGGATACAAACAGTGATGGATCTCAGCGTGCTCCTTTTGTTTGCTAACTCCAGGAATGCAGGTGCTGTTCTGTTTCACCGTGAGCACCGTGGGGCAGAGCCAGGAGAAGCTGACCCACCTACCTCCTCCTGTTTGGCTCCTTGTTTTCCTCCTTGAGGCAGGAGGACTGCCTTTTCCTGGGACGCCTCCTCTGCGACGGCGTTTTGGGCATGAGCGCAGGCTCTGCCCTGAAGCTGCTGTGGAGCAGAAGAGGCAGAGCACAGGTTGCTTTCCCAACTGCCTCCAACACCACTCCCCGGAACAAGGGTCGCTCGCCAGGAGGGCTGAGGCCCAAACCCACACCTGCACCCAGCCGCACCCAGCCGGGAGCTCACTCCCAGGGGCTGGGAGCGCCCCGAGGGCAGGCGCTCCCTGAGGTCCCCTCGGGGGCAGCCCCTACCTCTCCAGCATCTTCACGCCCTGCTCCTCAACCTCCCGCAGCCAGGCCAGGCGCTTGTGCTGGGCATCGTGGAGGAAACGGGACAGCCTCTGCCCGCACACCTCCAGCAGCTGCCGCGGCCCCTCCGCCATGGCCCTGCCTGCAGCAGAGAGAGAGAGAACAACGAGGGGGGACAGCTGGGACACCCCCCCGAGGGAAGGAGGAGGACACTGGGCTTAGAGTGGGTGTGAGGACAGGCCAGGGCACGCTGTTAAGTGCCGAGCACGGACAAAGCTTAACTCCCGAGGGACCCCTCTCGCCCCCAGCCCAGCGGCAGGCACCCGGGCCCTGCCTCCCCCTCGTCCCCTTACCGAACCCTCGAACTCCGGCTTCGCGCTCCCGCCGCCTATTTATCCCCCCACGGCCAGACCAATCGCAGCGCGTCCCTCCGAACGCCCCTGCTCTTATTGGTAGCTGCGCCTGTCCGTCACTCCCCAAGCCGTTAAATCCCCGCCCTTCAAGGCCCGCCTTCTAAGGCGAGTCCTCCACGGAAATAGAGACGGGCGAGCAGAGCGGTGCTGTGCCGTTCCCGCAGTAGCCTGGCAGCCAATGGGGAGGGCGGTCCTGGCGGGCGGCGGGCGGTGATTGGCAGGGACGGCGGGGCGCGCGCCGGGTTTAAACAGTGGGGCTCGCGCGCGGCCGTTGGTTCTGAGGCGATGGCGGCCATGGTGATGGCGGCGCGCTCTGTGCAGCAGCTGCCCGCCGAGTGCGGGCGGCGCCTGGCCGGGTTCCTGCGGCAAGTGGACAGCACCGACCTGGTGTGGCTGGAGGAAATCTGCGAGGAGGCGTTCAGGATGTTTGTGAGGTAATGGCAAGCCCCCCCCCACACACGCACATACACACGTCCCGGTTCCCTGCTAGGCCTCGGCCGGTACTGGCTGACCCCGCGTCGCTCTTCCCTTCCCTTCCAGCGACTACAGAGAGGAGCTTGAGCTGATGCCCAAGACGCCGTCGCAGAAGAACAGGCAGCGGAGGAAGCGACGGTCGACACTGCATGAGGAGGGGCAGGATACGGCCAGGAAGCGGTGAGGGGACGGTGGGAGTGGGGGCCCCGGAGCCCCCCCTGGGGGTGGGCCGCGTGGAGGGGGAGCGCAGAGGCAGCCAGAGGGGTCTGGAAAGAGGGGAAGCGCATGGGAGGTTGAACAGACCCCCTGCCAAGGGCTCATGGAGACAATCCCCTACCCAAAGCATGTCCCGCGGGCCTCCCTACCTTCTTCGCCCTGGGGGGGGGTTCCCCTCCTTTGTCCCAAGAGGGTCCCCCCCCTTATTTGGCCCGCGAGTCCCCCCGGTGTTAAAGGTCCGGTCAGACCCCGTATCCAGGGTGCTGGCAGCCTTAGGGTCCAAAAGCACTGGAAAACGTTAATTCTCATGAAAAGTGCTGCTATTTGTCACCTGGTTCTGTTTTATGTTCCCGGGTCTCTGTCTCCCGTTATCTTTTCCACTTTGAAGTAATTACATCCCTTAATTACTGCCTGCTTTAGCTGCTTTGTGGAGCTTTGCATATCCTGGGCCCATCCTAGGTGTGTTGGCTCTAAACCTATGTGTACATGGTAAGGGCTTTGGGCTGTTCTCAGCTCCCATTCTCATCTAATGCACTGTTCCCGTGGCCAGGTTGTCCAGGAGGAGGAAGAGCAGCCTCAAACCATTGCCTTCTGTGCGATGTTCTCAGCGACTTCAGGACAAACAAAAGCTGGAGCTCGGCAGAGCCGAGGCCAAAGGAAACTCTCCCCCTCAGCGCGTGACACGATCCCAGGCCACAGCCTCTGTCAGGAGCTCCAAGGTGGTCTCTGAGACGCCTCCTGCCCTGCAGGCAGTGGGGAAGGACCCCTGGGTGGAAGCTGATCAGACTGGCACTGCAGTGCCCCTCCAGAGGAGCACAGCGAAGCCAGCAAAGCTGCTCCCCACGAGCTCAGGGGACGGCTCTCCCAAAGAATGTGGCATTCTCAAATCCCTGCTGGTGCCCACAGCCCCTGAGCTGGTGGTTCCCTCTACTCCTGAGGCCAGTGAGGCTGTGTCTGAGCTGCAGGTAAAGGCAGCCAATGTCACTGTCAACCTGAGCCCAAGGGTTGGGCTGGAGGAGGGGAATGGCCCCACTTGGGAACACGACCGGGCTGAGGAGCCCTCCCAGCCCCTGAGGGACAATCCAGGGACTCCAACGGGCTCCCGGAGGAGCCGCCGCTCCGTGCGCCGGAGCCTGATGGGTAAAACCTCCCTGAGCCGCAGAACCTCCCTGGCAGAGAAGTATTCCCTGGCCCGCAAGAGGGAGAGTATGGTCCAGAAATCCATCACCAGGGCAGCAAGCAAGAGGAAGATGGCTCTGCAGGGATCCATGTCCTCCAGCTCTGTAGAGGGTGAGTTTGGGTGTCACCAGGGGGTTTGCATCTCTCCTGCTCTTTGTGTTTATCTACTGCTGAGGAAACCAAATGTGCCAGGGCCAGTTATTCCATGTAGGGGTAGCAGCTGAGCTCCCTGGGCTAGTTAAGCTGCAATCCCTCGTGGAAGTTCTCCCTGGCTTTCTGGAGCCTCCCGTGAGCACTTAAACTGTGAACTCAGCCTTGTCAATCACCTGGGAGAACAGCCTCAATGTCTCTATTTCAATTTAACTTTAACCATTACTTATTTGCTGGGAGAAGCTGTTAACCCTGGAATCCCAGGGTGGTTTGGGTTGGAAGGACCTTAAAGCCCATCTAGTTCCAACTCCTGCCATGGGCAGGGACACCTACTGGACCAGGTTGCTCCAAGCCCCATCCAGCCTTGCCTTGGACACTTCCAGGGATGGGGCAGCCACGGCTTCTCTGGGCAGAGGGGATGATGGGCTCTCCCAAAGTTCTGCCTATTTCCTGGAAAGTGAAATTCTCACAAATTCCCTGGTCCTTCACCTCTTCCCAGGATCTGGCTGCTGGTTCTAGAGCTTCTTTGAGAAGGGGAATTTGAGGCTGAATTTTATAGATTAAAAGTCTCCCATGTTTTTACAGTTGGTGATAGATGCAGGTTTGGGGAAGGACTGGCTGATTTAAACATTCTTCCGTGCCATGGAATGGAAGCATTGGAATTAGTGCAAGAGGGTAAATACATGGATGTCATCTCTCCTTTGTATTATATAAACAAGCCGGACCGGGGCTCTTTATCAAGAACTGGAGTGACAGGACAAGGGGAAATGGGTTCAAACTGAAAGAGGGGAAATCAAGGTGGGATATATGGAGGAAATTCTTCCCTGGCACAGGTTGCCCAGAGAAGCTGTGGCTGTCCCATCCCTGGAAGTGTCCAAGGCCAGGTTGGACTGGGCTTGGAGGAACCTGAGCTAGTGGCAGGTGTCCTTGCCCATGGCTGAGTGATGGGACTGGATGATCCTTAAGGTCCCTTCCCACCCAAACCACAGTAGGATTGTGTGATTCTGTGATTATTCATGGCAGGTCCTGGCTGTGCCAGAGCTTCTGAGCTCGCTGTGGCAGAGCCAGCTGGAATGCTGGCTTGGGAAGCAGCACTCCAGCGTTATTTACAGCGGGCTCTAACTGCTGTTAATGTCCAGGCATGGCCCTGCAGACAAGCCTGGGGCCAAGCCCAGCCCCCTTAATTCCAGCTCGTGGAATATTTCTCTGAACTCATCTATAATTGAAAATGCTGCTTTCGTGCACCGGAATAGCCGGCAGCGTTCCTGCAGTGCCACCTGGGTGTGCTCCGGTGCCCTCCCCTGCCCCGGGGCAGGTCAAACCCCTCTGCAGTGCCTGGAGCAACCCTCATCCCAGCACGTCCTTGGCCTGCACCCAAAACTCACAGCTCAGGTGTGCTTTTTTCCTTTCCCACAGCCTCCAGCTCTACAGATCTTCCAGAGGAGGAAGAAACTGTTGTCAAAGCTGGGTGAGAATGCTTTTAGTTTTTTATTTAACCTTGCTATCCTGCTTGCAGGACTTTTCCCCGCCACTCCTGGTGTAAAATCCAAGTGGCTTTCCAGTTTCCTTGGTGTTACTAAACACAGCATCTTTTGTCTTTCCTTTTCATCTAGGCCTCCTCCTGGATCCTGCACCCCCTGCAAGGTAAGATCTGAGCAGGGATTAAAAGCATTTGTGTCTGTGTGAATTTGGGAGGAAAATGTGGCTTTTCCTTCTTAACCTCTTGCTAGAGATCATTGTGTGAAAGTTCAGTCCCAAATCTTTTGAGATAAAAAAAACCTTCTTATAGTTCAGGGAAGTTCAGCTCAACTGGTGTCATGGTTTGCACACTGCTGTTATTTCTGTATTTTTAAAGCTCCTTTTGACCTTTCGGTCAGTCCTGCAGGTAATTCATCACTTCTTAGTTCAGACAGCCACAGAAATTTGTGAATATTATTCAGGTCAAAACCTTTCCCTCCACAATGCTCACTGAGGAAGGAACCCTGGGATGATGTTGGTGTCTTGTCCAGAGTAAACGTCAGTGCACGCCTTGACTCTGTCAGGTCCTCCTCAGCCCAGGTTCATCAGATCTGTGTCCTCTCTTGGGCTACAGGGTGTAGCCTGGGCCTGCCCTTGGAACGAGGCCCCAGAGAAGCAATTGGGGGGGATAAAATCTCCATAAATCTTTTTTTATTCTCTTCCCCACCTGCTGCTCGCTGGCCAGCATGGGCTGGGGGAGGTAATGCTCGTGCTGCTGGCAGAGAGCAGTTCTAGAAGCCACAGCCCATTATCCCAGCAGAGCCTGCTCCGGTGTAAGTGCAGAGACGGAGAGCAGCAATGGGTATCCCACAGCAAACAGATAAATCATGGAAATGAGCCATCTGCCTGCCATCTCTGGGCTCCACATTCATCACTGCTCAGGGAAATGGGGATGCTGGCTCTGGCCAGAGCTCCAGCAGCACAGATTTACAGCTTGGAAGGCTTTTGTCCTTAATAGTTGATGGGTTTGTTGAGTTTAAGCAGCACAGATGCTCTGTTAATGTCCGTGCTTCTCCTGATGATGCAGCATCCAGGACTTTGCCAAGAGGTGGTTTGGTGTTCCCTGGTAATGCTGCTCAGCATGCCCTTGTCAGAATCACCCCACAATCTGAACCAGGAATGGGCTGTCTCCATGTGGAATTGTCCTGAAACCCCTTTGCTTTTCCCACAGGATTCCCAAAGCCTGCAGGTGTCCCTTTCCTCCCACACCGTCAGCAAACACGGGCAGCCGCAGGAGCCAAGCAACAGTGGTAATTCCAGAGGGGTTTGGGGTAGGACTTGGGGAAGTTACTGCTTTGGGAAGCTGGAAATCTTGCTGATTAATTTGAGAGCTCAGTTTGAAAGACTAATTAATGTTTGATGAGGGAGGATTTGTTTCAGGCAATTAGCAGTGAGGAAACTCTTTGCTGGCGTTATTTC